TCTATCTATCTATATATATATATATATATATATATCTCTCTCTCTATGTATATATATATATATATATATATATATATATATATATATATCTATATATATATATATATATATATATATATATATCTATATATATATATATATATATATATCTATATATATATATATATATATATATATATATATATATATAGATATATATAGATATATATATACACACATCTATTATTTTGTTAAGCCATTGTTCAATATTACGTATTACTTTGTTTTTTTAAAAAATAACACAAACCGAAGCCGAATATTTGAATAATAGAGTATCATTCTTTCATACTGTATTTAAATGAATAAAATAATAGGGAAACCATGCCACTTAAGTGAGTAATTTTTTTTTAGTTTCAATGCCATTTATTTTGAGGTTTATGCAACCACTAAGCTAGGCTAAGTTAAAGCTTTGAATTTTACTTTAAAAACATTTCCAACGCAGAAATTGCGACAAAATTGGATGACTGCAAAGGTTATACGATATAAATCTGCTAGCCAATATACCCGGGGTTGCACGGGATTTCATTAGCACCCCATCCTTGTGTGACCCCGATCCCATTAGAGCCCTAATCCCATTCTGACACCGATCCCGGCGCAGTCCCGTTTACCGGTTTTATCCCGATCCCGGTGTATCCATTCTAGGTTGGGATCCCGATCCCGGTTTCATCCCGTTTTCAGGTGGTATCCTGATCCCTTTTGGATAAAGATTATAATGGGATCCCGACCCCTTTGTGATCCGTTTAAAAAAAAAAAGAACTACAGTGTTACTGAGAGAACAGTAAACTCCGGGACAGTATAGAAATAAATAGAACTAACTAAAATGTCATTATCCCTTAGATCCCATTATCTATCCCGGTGGAACAATTTAGAACTTTCTGGAACATTCTAGATTAAATTTAATAGCCTGCTCGAAACATGTGTAAAACTACTTTTATAATTACTTTTTGAAACGATAAAAAGGTTCA